CACCCCCCCCCCCCCCCCCCCCCCCCCTCGCTGCACTGCAAAGCCTGGAATGTTCCAACCCGAAGCTCTTCAGCCAGTGGACATAACCTGAAGTTCAGCTCACACACACACACTGATGAAATACAAAACCACAACTGTGTGAACACATCTGCAGATTACAGTTGGGCCCTAAACGAGGCCACAGAGACCCCCACAGGTGAGGACTGCAACAAAGCACAGAAGCTGGAGGTGTCATCAAAGTCGAGTCGTTGTAAATGGCCGGCGAGCGTCTCCGGCGTCACGAGACCGAAGACGTGCAGCAGTAACGCCGGTAGACGGCGGCCGTTGTACGTGGAGTTATTTGCATGTGTGGGTTTCCTGTGTGACTGAGAGTGCAGAGCAGGGTGGGGGAGCGCGGTTCTGTGTGTGTGTGTGTGGCGTGCGGGGGTGGCTGCCTGCATGCCTGTGTGTGTGTGAGGCTTGTTTACTGAGGTGGTGAGGCTGCCATCTTTCCTGTGCATGAATTAATTTATCCTCCTGGTTCATATCTAACCCTCCATCAAGAGTCTGAGCACAGCCTGACCACCTCCTCCTCCTCCTCCTCCTCCTCCTCCTCCGGGCTCTGAACCTCGGAGTGAACGTCTCACTCTATAATCTATAATAACCCCTCCAGCGTGGCGGCGTAGCGTAGCCGCATGCTAGCTCAACTGCTCCTCACCTATATAGCCGAAGAACTCAGGTGTGATAAGTGTGGAACAAACGCTCTACTGCTCCCATTTTATTTTCTTGCTTCCACACTCTTCATCCCTCCTCCCTCCCTCCCTCCCTCCTCCTCCTCCTCCCTCCAGCAAGTTTGGCCCGGGGAGACAGGTCGGCAGCGCCACTGGTGTGTTACTGTCCCCATGGCAACCATCTCCTCCCCCCCTCTCTCCCACCATCGCACTTCCCTGAAGCACATGCGTGTGGGTAAACACACACTCACATCTCCGATGCCACCCCGTCCTAGCGGGGGCTTGTTTTGTTCCACTGAGCGGTATTTGGTATTTGAAGAGGCGACCGGCCCTGCTCCTATTTCAGTGCCTCCCTCGCGCGGTGTTGATGTCTCTAACCCGGCTAAGGCGTGGCCCCGCCGATAGCACGCCATAGGCCCGGGGAGCTGATGGCGCGTGCGTCTCTCTCTCTCTCTCTCTCTCTCTCTCTCTCTCTCTCTCTCTCTCT